AGCTCCGAGGACATATGGACATGCTTGATATTGTTTTCATATCAGCAAAGAAGAATAAAATCACCGCTATGGGCATTCATTATACAGGCGTGGAGGAAGCTCCAGCCTGATGTGTGGATAGCCCCGACGACGAAGGCAAAAGTCCTGGCCCAACCAATTTTTGAAAACCCACGCATAGTAGCAAGGAACGGAAGCTGGTACAAGGCAGATTCCCAAGCTCAAAGTTTTGGCAGAACCTGGATTTAAAGAGGGGTGCTGCGAGTGAGAGACCTCTGGGATGGCTTTGCAGAAAACTGGAAGTCAGAGGAGGAATTGAGAAATAAGTTAGGACAGACATGGGATGTGGAGGGGAAGAGAAAGCAGTGATAAAAACAATACCTGAGGAATGGAAGGTCATACTGGTCCCAGAGACAGTCGATCCAGCAGGCACGTGGTACATGCAAAACGAAGAAGAGGAGCCCAGCCTCTGGGAGCTGAAGCCGACACAGACAGATGGGAAAATATTGTTTCAGAAGTGGGACTTCTCGGCTTCAGGACTGCTAAGCCTAACAGAAGAGGAAACACAGTCTAGGCTAGGCAGTGCACTGTCTCAGGTAAGCGTGGTACATACAGCACAGGAAGGGAGACAAAAGGAAATGACACTCATAGCCAACGGGAAACCTGTCTCTAAATTGAAACTAGACCCGAAGGCATGGGAATGGAGGGCCATGGGAAGACGAGGCGAGAATGTATGTCTGTTCAACTACACTCAGAGGATTGGCTACATGTACTTCATTTCTTCGAAACACCCAGAAGTGGTCGCAAGGACAAGATGGGCACAACTGCTTCAACTGGATCTGGAGGTGATTGGTAAGGATCTTAGGAACTGTTGGGAGCAGCTGAAGCTGATTCCCTGCCAAAGGCAAGCCGCTGTTCTGTGGCTGGTATCTTTGGTTGCGACCCCTTCTGCAGTATGGCTGGCGCAGCACGGGATGAAACTAGAGCTGAAGTGTGCGAGGTGTGCATAGGCCTTTGAGTCCACAGCTCACCTCTGGTGGGACTGTCCGACATCAAGTAGAATATGGGCCTGGTGGAATCGATTTTGGGAAAGATGTACAGAAGGAGCGTTCCCGTGGACAAAAGAATGGTGCCTCCTAGGGGGGGTACACGACGGTAACAGCTTATCCAAAGGGTGGGGATACGTTGCACAGGTGGCGAGGGCAGTCGGTTTTGCAGTTATGTGGCAAGAAAGGAACGAGAGAGTATTTAATGCCTCTGAATGGTTGAACAAACAGATAAGAAGGACATTCACAACGCGGCTGCGGAGATCAATGATGGCAGACTGGCACAGGAAAGTTGGTAAGAGGAGGAGTCAGGGACGTGGTTTGAACTAGTTCAAAAAGACTTGGTGCAGGAATGGCAGAATGACAAAGATTTCAGACGACAAGGTCGAGTTGGATCAGTGGTTCTACAGAGATGGGTGAGCAAAAGGAGAGGGATCCTGAGCACTCGGATAAGGGGTTTCAAGGGGTCGCAGGAGACAGGCAGAGGGATCTGTAGGCGGAGGGAGTGCTCCAGGATACACCCACCGAATTAGGTGGCCAGAGACAGGGGAAGAGTAGGAGCTAAGAGGAAGGACGAAGGGCATAGCATTAGAGAGAGAACAGTGAGGTAGAAGCTCCTGCCTTAGATTTGCGTAGGCCTTTTTTTTTTTTTTTTTTTTTTTTTTTTTTTTTTTTTTTTTAATTTTTTTTTTTTTCCTTTTTTTTTTCAAAATTTTTTGGCCTGTTTTTTTGGATCAAATGAAGCATCTGTTCCATTGGTTATGCGGGACCCTCAGATACCTAGGCTACGAGAGTGGCCTGGGGCAAGTTGCCCGTCTGGGCAAAAAAAAAAAAAAAAAAATTCTATTATTTTTTTTTTTTTTTTTTTTTTTTTTTTTTTATTTTTTTTTTGAAATATTTTTTGTTGGTACTAGTAGAACTTTTTTGGTTTGTGAGGCTTTTCGGGCTGGGTAGATACCTTTGGCTAAATTTGGCTCAGAGAGGGGACTGCAGAGCAAGGTCCCTGGGGACCGTTTTGTCCTAGTTAAGGACACCCTATCTGAAGTATAAGCTAAGTTGACTGATGCTGTCAGAAAACTTTCTTTCCGGGTCGAATTGTGGGGTCCCCGGCCCCGAATTGTTTTTCATGAAATAAAGGGATACGGTCTAAAAAAAAAAAATAAAAAAAAAAAAAAAAAAAAAAAAAAANAAAAAAAAAAAAAAAAAAAAAAAAAAATGTTTGTCTTTTTTGTGTTGGGGGTGTTGCTAGAATGGTTGGGCCTCGCTGCACTACTCTCAACGCGCACAAAAGACAAAAATCATGGCGGTGCATCTTTCTATATTCTAGCGGAAGATTCACTCTCGTTTTGCACATTTCAAGAGTAGAGTGCAGCGAGGCCCGTTGTAGATGGAAGTAAAGAATGCTTTCGTGGTAGGGACTGGTGCCGCGTTTAGGTAAACAGTGTGGAGACTGAGTATGCAGGGACGGGGCTCTGGGCTCCTGGTGGGGTAGGACAACCCTTGTCCCTGGTATAGACTATGGGCCTCCTTAGACACTCCTTATGGACCCGAATTCCACAAGGAAGTGCTCGTTCCACCTGTCCTCGGGACGATTCGCGAAAAAAAAAGTGAAAACAGCACAAGGAAATTTCCTTGTGGCGTCCTTCTGGCTACAACCAATTTTTCCTAATCCCCAAGGGACCTCCCGAGGTCCCTCGGAGCACAAGAAAATGCGAAATTCGGAGCGGCGAAGGCATGCGTCGACGCACAGTTTCGGTTTGAGGGTGGTCCACTGAAGGGGAGCACGGACATCCCTGCCCTCCATCATCTGGGAAGCACCCCAACGGCTCCAAATGGTCGCCATCTGCGTGAGGCCTTCGTCCGTCGAATCGGGCGTCGCCGACCAGTGTCATGCGGTCTGTTGTGCTGGGCGATCGTCGAGAGCGGTCAAAAATTTAAATGCTTGTCCGCGCCGACGATGCGTTCGACGACGACTTTGGAAGATCGTTGTTTTCATCGGTTGTCGTCACACCTTGCACGTCGGAGCACAGATCTTCCCTCGCTTTTTCTTTTGTCGACGGAGTTCTTCGCTGGACGGTCGATCACTCACGTGGAGCTGTTCCCCTTTCCACGACCCTTATATGGTCGACCTGCTGCACAGGCTGCCTCTGTTACTCCTTGTCATCGTGCCGCTTCTCATCGTTGTCTTCTTCCACGTGTGTTTCGTCGGCCTGCTCCCTGTCGCGGCTCGCAAAAGGAGATCTTCCAAGAACGGCGACATGATGGATCAACGACTGACCAACGGCAGACCGGCAGCTCTCTTTCCTGTTCCCTGTCCTGCTCCCTGTCCTGCGCTTCGTCCACCACCTCGGCGTCGCTCGAGAAATCACTCCGCAACCCAACGCGTAGCACAACTGAACAACAGCCTTCGAGGTCGCCACATAGTTGGGGCCATCGTCTGGAGCTTGCATCAATATCCTTCGTCTACGCGCATGCAACTGCTTCTTCAGTTGTCCCTGCGCCCTCTCCTGCTGACATCGAAGAACAACGGTAGACACGGTCGCCGCCACGGCCTGCAGCTCAAGAGGCGTCAACACCGCACGTCCACCCTGTCCGCTGCCCTTCTTAGCCGCGACCTGGACACGGACCCATCACTCCGCTGCCGTGTGTGTCGTCCTTCCACACCCAATGAAGAAGCCGAAGACGTCTGTCGAAAGATGGTCCCTTTTCTCTGGATGCAGTCCCGCAGACGGAAATGTGCGCAGCCGAAGGCGCAGTCGACGTGTGCGAAGGTCGACGGAGATGGAGGCACCCGACGATGCCTGCGCACTTGCAATGGTTGGGGGACGGAAGTGATGCCGCCGCTGAGCCCGTTTCAGCAGTACGCCGTCTTCGCACGGCCAGCCACACGTCGTCGTCGTCGTCGTCGTCGTAGCCGTCATTCGGAATTCGAATTTCAAACGTCGACGCCCCCCCGGGTTAATTTTTTTTCCCGTTGCCCGGTTCATGCCGTTTCCCCCAACACGTCACTAGACCACGCCGCCTCGACACGGACAAAAGACGGTGGACCAATGACCACCGACCCCACGGCCACTAATTTTCGTATGAAAACGGTCGTGGGCATGCCACAAGGAAACATCCTCGGGGTAGGTCCCCACGGATGAGTGGAACGACGCCGCAAATTTCCCTTAAGAGGCACAAGGAAATTTCCTTGTGGCTCAAGGAACTCGTAAGGAGTGTCTAACGAGGCCCTATCTTGATTATGTAATTGCCTTGGGCACTGAGCCCTGTTAATAAAAGTGTAATTTCAGTTAAAAAAAAAAAAAAAATGCACAGGCATGATTTATTTTATTTTATTTTTTTGATGCGAATATTTTCAGAAGTCCTCACGAGGAACGACATTACCGGGCGGGCAGCGTAGCGCTCCGAGTCGGAAACTTCGTCACCGCTACCGTCTTCCCCCGAACACAATGCACCCTCATTTTCACTGTATCGGGCTGGAAACATACCTTATATACGTTCATTTTCAGGGTGCATTAAGTTCGGGGGGGGAAGACAGTAGCGAGTAGTGCCCGCGGTGCTACCCGGTCGATACCTCCTCCATCATGGCGGCGGAGGGCGGGAGGCGCATTGCTCAACCCCACATCGGAGATTGGGTCTGCCCGAGATGCATGTAGGCGTGCCATCTAGGTAGTCAATAACTATGGTAGGTTATGTTAGGTTGGAGAACGGGAGTCATTATTGTGTTATTATCGTGTTATGATAGCGAAAGGTGGATAAAACATAGAGGTAAAAAACCGGTGAATGTCAGGTTACCATGGTTACTCCCACGCCGACGAAGGAGTAGGAGTTCTCGGATCTCCCACTATCTCTCGCTAAAAGGCGATGGTCCCCACCAATAGATGGAGCCTTCGACGCCAAGACCTACTTACTGGGGATGCTCTTATCACCTCGTTAAGTAGGTTTCCTGTATACGAAGTTAAAAAAAAAAAAAAAAAAAGTAACACTACACTCTAAGGTTGGAAAACACTAGATTTTAAGGTTGGCAGAAAACCTTATATAGTCTAAAGCAGGCAACAGATGTCATGGGGCCCCTACTCCAAAACTTCACCGGATCCGAAGATTGGATGGATGGAAATTGAGAAGGAGACGCAGGTATGCCCACGGAAAAGGTGGTAAGAAATAGAAATGGGCAGGTCACCGGTTATAGACCAATAGTCTAAGCGAGAAGCTTTCACCGTCGGTATAAGCAAAAGTGAAAGAATGGTGAAAGTAGCTTCCTCAGTGTCAAGATGGTAACGAAGCTCCCTCGCCAAGGGAATCTGGGGCTTCTATAATGTGCAAGTGAATAGTAAATCATGAGGGTATCGAGAAGGAGGGGGGGAGGGGGGGGGGGGGGGGGGGAWAAAAACAATACACACCTTTGAATACGAAGATTTTGTTGAAAGAAAATTTCAAGTAACTCTTCCAACGTTGCAGGGGGGTATTCACCCTGTAGATTAATCACACACTCCCAACTCTGAAGTGATAGCAAAGCATAGCGCTAATCCCCCACCTTCTGGTCCGTTGGGTCGCCCGGTAATCTCAACCAACGTGGCAAAATATACGGATAGATGTTGTAACTCACATCAGCTGCCAGGTAATCTGCCTTAAGCTCGCACGGAGTACGGAGTTACCTTGGAGGAAGCCAATATCACAATTAACACTCCGCAAAACCGACGAAGGGGCAACGCCCCAGAGCGGGGCATTCATATCGTTCGACATCCGAGGGTGAAGTCCGCCCAGGAAGCGCTCATACATCGGCGCAGAGCTACTACACGAAACCAGACATGTCTACTTGAGCAGGTTGAAACAACCCCCCCCCATAGTACGTAAAGACGAAAACAGGCACTAAGGCCGGGGATAGCGAAAGGTGGAACTTGAGAGATAGAGGCGGGAGTATAAGAGAGCGTACTGCCTGTTCTTGAATATCGGTAATTCGTCGAAAATGTGAAAAGCAAAAGGGATAGTTCGGTGAGAGAGGCGGACTCTGTCGGTGAGAATACCCTTACAGGGGTATCCGCCCTGGTTTTTGCAAGGGACAAAAAATAGGTTTAGTTTAAAGTTTAAGTATTCCGCACAAGGCGCGACTGTGTCTGTGGCTTACGTTAACTGGATGATTGACTAAAGAAGAGAGTGTGTTGGCACGCAAATTTGAGGCGCGTGATCTATTTATTTGTTGACGACTGAAGAGCTGGCGGGATCTAGGATTAGAGAGATTAGGTCTCGTTGATTGATGCGCTTGCCTGTGACTTGTGTGTATGTGTGGAGGACGACATCGACAACAAAGTGACATTGAAGGTGTTTTGGTAGATCTGCACGTCGCGCAATATCTATATACTTAGGCGTCAGTCAATTCTAGACTCAACCTTGGGCCTAGTACTATTGGTTATGGTATCAGACTTTCATCTGAGAGATTCAAGGATCGAGATCGAGTGACGACGACGTGAGGGTATCAGAGTAGCATGAAGAGACTGAGGGGTTAAGGGCCCGGCGGGGCTATCCCCCTTGGTTTTGCCGTCGGCTCTCTCTCTCTCTCTCTCTCTCTCTCTCTCTCTCTCTCTCTCTCTCTCTCTGTGGCGGCGCGGTTGGAATGTGCAAAAGGGGAATGAATTTTCCCGTGCTGTCGGGAAGATTCATTCCCCTTCACTAATTCGAATCTCTCACTCTCTCTCTCTCTCTCTCTCTCTCTCTCTCTCTCTCTCTCTCTCTCTCTCTCCCCACCCCCGGTGTGAAATTTTCGTTTCGTTTTTTTTTTCTTTTGGGTAGAAGAAAAAGTTTTTTTTTCTTTTTTTTAATTTTTTTTTTTGGGGGTGCAAAATTGCACCGACATGCATGCGCGCCGGTGGGTGACCTAGCCTACGAGGTAGAAGAGGCTTGAGTGACGGGGACCCTCCCGCCACCCGCCGGCTGCTGTAAAAAGGTTTGTGTGTGAGCATGCCCGTTGGGACTCGAGAAAGGTGAGCAATGCCCGGGCAGAGCGGTCCGGGGCATTAGAGGGAGGCCGCTACGGCCGCTGCTCACATGCGGGGCCCCCATCCACTTTGGTCTTCAATGTCCTCATATAAATATTTGCTACCACCACCAAGGTCTACACGGGACCCGCCGGACAGAGGAATAGGCCCGGGTAGGACGAAAAAACAAGTAAGGGGAAATTAATCACCTTCCGTGAGTTAGGGTGCCCTTGAAACTCTCAAGTATTTTCAAGTGGTGTCGAACGAGGCCCTTACCCACTGAGCTAGGCCGCGTTTCTTCTGGGTAATATATGTAAAATACTGACAGTGGGATGACGAGTACTACTGCACGGCAGGATTTGGGTCACTCAACTGCCGCACAAACTCTTTTCTATCCTGTCCCCTTGGTACTGGGACCATGCCCCAGCAGGCTCTGCTAAACGGCACTCGGGGCCAACGGCCTATCTCTAAGTGGCGGGCGCCAAGCTTGCTCAGGAAGGTACGTAAGGACAGTGGGAATTGAACCCAAGACCTCCTGAATGCCACTTGCGTGCCTTTACCAACTGAGCTAGGCCACTGGATTTCCTTTTTCCCCTTCGCCTCTTCTTCCTCCTCTTCTTCCCTTTTTTTCCCTTTGGCGTGCCGTTTTCTTTTTGAGCGAGCAGAGAAGGCAGGCGGGCCGCAGCGGCACCTGAGGAGAGGACAAAGAGGCACGAACGGAACGGAACGGAAGGGGTTTTGTTTCAAGAAGAGATGGTGAGGGTACCCATGCATTTGCTATTTTTTGCTTTGGGGTGACACAACAAAATCAATCAATCAATCAATCAATCCATCTGTCTACCAAATCACTCACTCACTCACTCACTCACTCACTCACTCACTCACTCACTCACTCAAGCAATCAAGCAATCGAGCAATCAATGAACCGAATCAATCAATCAAGCAATCAATCAGTCAATCCATCAATCAATCAGTCAATCAATCACAAGGGCAATCGATCAATTACAAGGGCAATCAATCAATCAATCAATCAATCAAGCAAGCAAGCAATCAACCAACTCAATCATCAATCAATCATCAATCAATCAATCAATCTACCAACTCACTCAGTCCCTCAGTCACTCAGTCACTCAGTCACTCAAGCAATCACTGAACCAAATCAATCAATCAATCAATCAATCAATCAATCAACGAGTCAATCAATCAGTCACAAGAGCATTTGGGGGGGCATAGACACGACCAAATGAATGAATGACTGACTGAATGAACGGGCCTCGCTCAACTGCACAGACTCGTAAATGTATTTATTTAGCGAGAAATGCTCCCGTTTCATTGCAAATGTTTGACCAGTTCGAATGCATGCGGTCCCAAGTCTGTCCAGATACTGTCTCTTATACACATCTAGATGTGTATAAGAGACAGCTGTTACTCCTTGTCATCGTGCCGCTTCTCATCG